AAGCACTTCCGCTATCTATGCAAAGGATAGGATTCGAAAAAGGGGATGTGGGTGGTGCAGCAGAGTTTCCCAGTCGCTTCCGCTTTGGTTCTTCCTGCAACGCAAGTGTTGTCTGCGTTTTCCACCATTTGCTTAAGCCCCTAAAAAGTGAAGGGGAGGTGGAAATAAAATAAATTTAATTGCCTACTTTGTTGTTGAGCCTGGTTCCTGGGTGTCCTCTCAACTTAACCTGTTTTCCCTTGTACTTTTCCGCATGCAAAATGGAAAATGCCGCCCATTGATTTTACAGCGGGCCAGTGCCCAAAAGAACGTGGAGAAAGAATAAATAAATTTGCATTTGGCCGAAGCCAATCGCCCCCGTTTTCCCAGGCTTTATCTCTTGGCTTTCATTTCCAGGCGGATTTCGTCTAATTGATTCAATTTGTATTCATTTTGCATGTTTCCCAGGCGTTGCGTTTGTAATTAAAGAAAAACCGAATTTTGATATTAAATCATTTGCATTTAAATAGCTAAATTTCACATAGGCCTTGGCAAAGCAAAATCAAAATAAAAGAAATCTGCCACTGAATCTTATGAATGATTGTGAGTCAAAACTTTATCGGTTTGGTCAATTGTAATCTGGCTTTTGACAAGATTATAAAGTCGGTATACCCTAGCAAAGGGTATAACATTACTTTTAAGAAATATAGAGAGCTGTGAGTCAGTAATTCTCCATACTATATAGTTAATACATCACCAGAAGACGTTTAATTTATTTTAAAATAGATTCTGTATATTCTTATTGCTGTTATTTGCTGTGGCATTTAAAGACTGTTATAACGGCAGAGTATATAAAGTTTGGTATCCCAAAGCTAGCTGTATTTCTTGTTAATATATAAATTAACTCACCTTAATATGGGTACCATTTAGTTTGATTTTGTCTGCCGATCACAGCTGTTTATAAACAAATGTTCTAAAACTGTGAGTAACACATTCAGCGACGATGAAGAATGTACATCAAAGGCAAGCCATTATTTTCAATCACCTAACACCGAATGTATTTTGTAACATTTTATTTTTTAGGCCGACTTGTGCGACAGTCAAAAGTTGGAAACAAAAATGGATACTAAAGTGCTTGAACTTGAGTTTAAATTAAACGAGATAATAGAAACTATAAAAGTGTCAAACAACCTTTTTAAATCTGAATACAAAGAAGAGATTGATAATCAGACAATCAAAATAAGAAAGTTGGAAGAGGAACTGTCCATCACAAAGCAAATAAATTTAAAACTTGATCAAGAAATTGAAAAACTAATGAAAGAATCTAAGGATTCCACTTCTAATAAAAAGTTGAGACAAACAATATTTTTTTTGAAAGAAACCGAAAAGGAAAACCAAAAAGATATAGCTTCTCTGAGAGCTCAGATATCAGATCAAACATGCCCAAAAAAATGCAATTAAAACAAATGAACTTGAAGCTTCCCTTAGAAATCAAATAAACCAGAAAAACGAAACTCAGAAAAAGCATAAATATCTTATAGCTTCTCTTAAGGATCAGATAAATCAACAAAATATAACGCAAAATGAAAGCAAATGTCTTATAGCTTCCCTTAAAGATCAACTAAGTAACAAAATTGATGAAGAAAATGCAGATGTTATTGATTCTCTTATGTCTCAATTGGAGGAGAAAGATGCAAAAGTTTCCGAAAAAGAGGAAGATATAACATCTCTTATGACTCAAATAAAGTTGAGAGATGAAAATATAACCTTTTTAGAGCAGGGACTGCAATGGGAAATGTTTAAAAATAAGGAGAAGGATGATCCATCAGTTCACCAAGAATCACCAAACAATTTTAGTGTCGACAGCGACGCCAACGCCCCTGGAAAATGGTCCATTTTACCGCTATTTCGTAAATTTAAATAAATAAATAAATCTATAACTAACAAGGAAGAACGCTATAGTCGAGTACCTCGACTATCAGATACCCGTTACTCAGCTAAATGGAGATATGCAAGCAGCAAAGCGAGATTAAAATGCGCCACCTACCGGTGGTATACAGATTTAAGCGTTATGGGCGTTAGAGTGGGCGTGGCAAACTTTTTTTTAGGTCAATCGATAGGTATTGATGAGAACATTACATTTCAGTTAAAATTTTTATTCTAGCATCAAAACTGTAGGAGCCACAGTTTTGGGCGGTTTGTGGGCGTTAGAGTGGGCGTGGCAGTCTACTGAAACAAACTTGCGCTGCGTAAGAAGCTCAGGAATCTGCACGCCAAATCTCAATAGCCTAGCTCTCATAGTTTCCGAGATCTCAGCGTTCATCCGGACAGACGGACAGACGGACAGACGGACAGACGGACATGGCTAGATCGACTCGGCTAGTGATCCTGATCAAGAATATATATACTTTATGGGGTCGGAAACGCTTCCTTCTGCCTGTTACATACTTTCCGACGAATCTAGTATACCCTTTTACTCTACGAGTAACGGGTATAAAAATATATTCATTAAAACCAGTACTCAAGCCAAAAAGTAAACTTATTACAATTTTTAACAACACGTTTGCGGAAGTAATGGAATTAAAATGACAAAATGTTTCTTGTTTTTATTATAAAGTTAAATGATAAAGCTTTCTAATGTCTTAGTTTAACAGCTAGTCAGTTTTAAATTTTACAGAATAAACTGAAGTAAACCAAGTATTCAAAATCTAAACATCAAATTTTATAAGGCTGTTTTTATGGTTGTGCACTTTTAATAATAAACTAGGTTAGCTGCCTTTTGGGGAACTCCCGATTTTGTTCTTCCTAATCTTAAAACACAGTTCAACAGATAAGATATCAAATCCTTACTATCGTTGTTGTTAGCCTGGGACCCTGCCAGTGGGTCACCCAACTTGCTATTAAGTGCTTAGCCCTGAAGAATGATGGTTAATTGTACACTTCCTCCATTAAAAAAATACTTGCTAATAAATGATTTGATATTAAACTCTATACAAAATAAACTAAGTTTTATTTCTAAAGGTTGGCTTATCTTTCCTTTCCAAATATTACTCCCTTACTTTGAGCAAAATGTTATGAAGAGCTAACGATCCATACAGAAATGTATATATTTTATATGCAAACATATTACAAATATGATATATAGAGAGTAGACAAAAAGAGTATACAAAATATTTTGTTATCTAGAGAGAACGCATTTTATTATGTTTGAACGACAGCTTATCAATACAGAAACTCATTGCGCCAAAATAAACCTTCATCGCTTGCTTTTAGTCCGTCTACACACTCGCTTTGATAGGTTGTGTCAAACAAGAAACGATGAAGAAAGTTTTGGGTAAAAGGGAAAACATCAAGATTTTAAGCTTAAACTCCTACTGTATCAATGAAATATTTCGGCAAATCAAAATGAGCTGCGCATCTAGTTTAATACTGGATGATATGTTAAAGTATAGCGATCTCATTCACTTTGTTATCAGCTGCAAGTTATTCACCAAAGCGTTTAAGGAATGGTCTCCCGAGCTTTATAACAAACTTTGCATAGAAAATACATTCTTAAATAGATCTCCCTATATACAGATTGATTTCTCAAATGTTTATGCACATATGCTAAGATTGTCAATAAATGAAAAAAAGTTATTCTGGAGAAATTTCTTAAATCCGATTAGGGAAAACGATAAATTGGAATCAGTGATGTTAGTCTATGAACCAATAAGTTACTACCCCGAGCATTTGGAAAGATTCGATGACCTGATAAATTGTCTTCGAAACAAGGATCAATTGCGTGAGCTCTTTGTTAGACTAAAAGGTAAGTTCACATTCGATTTTTGGATTTACCTCAATTTATAAGATCAATCTTATTAGGGTATAGCTTGGAAAGCGTGCCGCTGATAAGCAGTCTGGAAACCCTTATAGTAGATGCCCGAATGGAAGTCAATATCCTAGTCCAGTTTTGCACCTTAAATCCAAACTTACGGAGACTCATTTTGGTCAATAACGAGTTATATGGAAGATTGTCTGATATTGTACCGCACTGCAACCAACTGGAATGCCTAAGCTTCGTTATAAAGCAGGGGGTAGACGCCGCGGAATATAAAGCCCTTGCCAAGCTACCCAGACTCAACGAACTAATCCTCCTTGGCGAGCATGAGGAGGTAAAGCTTTTTCATGACCTAAAAGAATGGAATTTACAAAAAATATTGATAACCGAAACCCATGTCAGTGACGCCATCGCATTGGCATCCATTGCCTCGTTAATTTCTCTCTTCTGATTTACCTCTAACTGGATCTCTGACTGATATTTGCATACTGCGTCATCACAGCCAATATGATCCAGAAATTAACAATAAAAAAGAAAGCGGCCGCATGAAAGTGACTTATGGGGCAAGAACCATCTCTAACGAAATGCCAGACGCGCATTATCAAGCAATGCAGACCAATGATTCAAAGCTTATGATAAAAGCATTTGATCAAGACTTCGCCCATGCTTTTCGTTTTCGCTACGAGGGTGCTTATAATGCCAAAGTTTTGCGTGATAACATGAAATTATCATCAGAATCTTCAATGTGCTTTATCGAGAAGATAGTCCTCTATCAGAACGATCCAATTCCGAAACTCAGAAAAAGCATAAATATCTTATAGCTTCTCTTAAGGATCAGATAAATCAACAAAATATAACGGAAAACAAAAGCAAATATCTAATAGCTTCCCTAAAATATCAATTAAGTAAGAAAAATGAAGAAGAAAATGCAGATCTTATTGATTCTCTTATGTCTCAATTGGAGGAGAAAGGTACAAAACTTTCCGAAAAAGAAGAAGTTATAACATCCCTTATGTCTCAGATAAAGTTGAGAGATGAAAATATAACCTTTTTAGAGCAGGGACTGCAATGGGAAATGTTTAAAAATAAGGAGAAGGATGATCCATCAGTTCACCAAGAATCACCAAACAATTTTAGTGTCGACAGCGACGCCAATGCCCCTGGAAAATGGTCCTTTTTGGAGCTATTTCGTAAATTTAAATGATACGGTTTATAATATCTCGCAGACTGGCACCCATTTTATTATGTTAATATTCAAACCAATTCTATAACAAACCAAATTAAAACAAATACTCAAGCCAAAAAGTAAACTTATTACAGTTTTTAACAACACGTTTGCAAAAGTATTTCGTTAAAAATATGTCGAAAAAAATATTTCTGGATTTTATTACAAAGCTAAATGATCAAGCTTTCTAATGTGTTAGTTTTACAGCTAGTTAGTTTTAAAATTTATATAATAAATTTAACTCAAGTATTCAAAATCTAAACATCAAATTTTATAAGGCTGTTTTTATGGTTGTGCACTTTTAATAATAAACTAGGTTAGCTGCCTTTTGGGGAACTCCCAATTTTGTTATTCCTAATCTTAAAATACAGTTCAACAGATAAGATAACAAATCCTTACTATCGTTGTTGTTAACCTGGGACCCCGCCAGTGGGTCACCCAACTTGCTATTAATTGCTTAGCGCTGAAGAATGATGGTTAATTGTACACTTCCTCCATTAAAAAAAATACTTGCTAACAAATGATTTGATATTAAACTCTATACAAAATAAACTAAGTCTTATTTCTAAAGGTTGGCTTATCATTCCTTTCCAAATATTACTCCCTTACTTGGAGCAAAACGTTATGAAGAGCTAACGATCCATACAGAAATGTATATATTTTATATGCAAACATATTACAAATATGATATATAGAGAGTAGACAAAAAGAGTATACAAAATATTTTGTTATCTAGAGAGAACGCATTTTATTATGTTTGAACGACAGCTTATCAATACAGAAACTCATTGCGCCAAAATAAACCTTCATCGCTTGCTTTTAGTCCGTCTACACACTCGCTTTGATAGGTTGTGTCAAACAAGAAACGATGAAGAAAGTTTTGGGTAAAAGGGAAAACATCAAGATTTTAAGCTTAAACTCCTACTGTATCAATGAAATATTTCGGCAAATCAAAATGAGCTGCGCTTCCAGTTTAATACTGGATGATATGTTAAAGTATAGCGATCTCATTCACTTTGTTATCAGCAGCGAGTTATTCACCAAAGCGTTTAAGGAATGGTCTCCCGAACTTTATAACAAACTTTGCATAGAAAATACATTCTTAAATAGATCTCCCTATATACAGATTGATTTCTCAAATGTTTATGCACATATGCTAAGATTGTCAATAAATGAAAAAAAGTTATTCTGGAGAAATTTTTTAAATCCGGTTAAGGAAAACGATAAATTGGAATCAGTGATGTTAGTCTGTGAACCAATAAGTTACTACCCCGAGCATTTGGAAAGATTCGATGACCTGATAAATTGTCTTCGAAACAAGGATCAATTGCGTGAGCTCTTTGTTAGACTAAAAGGTAAGTTCACGTTTGATTTTCGGATATACCTAAATTTATAGGATCAATCTTATTAGGATATAGCTTGGAAAGCGTGCCGCAGATAAGCAGTCTGGAAACCCTTATAGTAGATGCCCGAATGGAAGCAAATATCCTAGATCAGTTTTGCTCTTTAAATCCAAACTTACGGAAACTCATTTTGGTCAACAACGAGTTTTATGGAAGATTGTCTGATATTGTACCCCACTGCAACCAACTGGAATACCTAAGCTTCGCTATGAAGCAGGGGGTAGACGCCGCGGAATATAAAGCCCTTGCCAAGCTACCCAGACTCAACGAACTAATCCTCCTTGGCGAGCATGAGGAGGGATCATTGGTAAAGCTCTTTCATGACCTAAAGGAAAGGAAGGTCCAAAGAATATCGATACCCGAAACCCATGTCAGTGACGAAGAGGCCATTGCATTGGCATCCATTACCTCGTTAATATCCCTCAAGTGCTGTCTACGCAATGATTCGATATATGCTGATTTACCTCTAACTGGATTTCTCACTGATATATGCATACTGCGTCATCCCAACCAATATGATCCAGAAATGAACAATAAGAAAGAAATCGGTCGCATGAAAGTGACTTATGGGGCAAGAACCATCTCTAACGAAATTCCAGACGCGCATTATCAAGCAATGCAGACCAATAATTCAAAGCTTATGATAAAGGCATTTGATCAAGACTTCGCCCATGCTTTTCGTTTTCGCTTCGAGGGTGCTTATAATGCCAGGGTTTTGCTTGATAACATGAAATTATCATCAGAATCTTCAATGTGCTTTTTTGAGAAGATAGTCCTCTATCAGAACGATCCAATTCCGAATGAAGACATTCCCATTATAGCCTCCGTACCGACGTTAACCACCATCCGATGCTCGTTCGCTCAAATAGAGCAGATGATCACGGTGAAAACTCAGCAACTCGCGACAATTACTGAAACTGAAAAGCGAGTGGACCGCATCCGAACTGAACATTTTGAGATACGATTAGTTCATAGCCACGAATCCGTAACTCTCATACTGGACTTTTTTGGGAAATGTAAAGAGAATTACGCGAGGTTCTTAGCTCCTCTTGCCAATTTAAGAAACCTAAAACGACTTGAGATAAAAGGAAAATTTACAAGTGGTTCCTTAGTAACGCTTTTTAAAGGTTTCACCACCTTGGCAACTCACACTCTGCAAGAACTAAAAGCTGTATTTCTTGACCCTGAAGAACTCGAAGAGGTGATCAAGATTGGCAGCCTAAGGATCCTCAAAAGCGGTTTCTTTTGTTCCAAAAATATTACTAAAATAGCCCAGTTGAATAATCTCGAAGAGCTAAGCCTAACCGTCCATCCACAGGGGTCTCTAGAAAAATTGTTTAGGCTCCTTGCCTCCAAGAAGTCACAAGTACTGAAGAGTCTCATAATTGAGGGGACGAAACTTACTTCCCAAGAGGTTGTCGAGCTAGCTGGCTTAGAATCCGTGGAGAATCTACAGCTTGGTCTCCCCGAAGTACAAAATTGGAAACAGTCCCCAGAAGGCACAACAGATAACCTAGACGTTTTCTATTGTCAAAAGTGTCGTTTGCCCCCTGATGCATCCCCTTATATAGAGCATCAAACTTACGTTCATACTTTGAATTCTGTATCAGACAAAGAGGCCTTAACTGCTAAGACTCATTTTATAACCAAATTGTATGGTAATTTGACACCAGGAAACTTGCAACTCTTGTCCAATCTGTCAAATCTGGAGAAACTGAGTGTTTATTTGGATTACAATCCCCAGGCCGTGGAGAACCTGTTAAGAACTCTTGCCTTGCTATCCCCAAAAAAATTGAGAAAACTTTCTTTTGCAACACAGAACTTTAAATTATTATCTTTTTTCGAAAATTTGCAATCTCTCGAGTCCGTTGTCTATCACACAAAAGATATTGAGTTTACAGCACATCTCAGAAATCTCACAGATTTACAAATATATAATCCTCTGGATATTCCCCTATGGGAACTCCTCAAGGAACTTAAGGTTTTATTGAATCTTCAGTGTTTGCTTTTGGATAATGCAGATCTGGAATTTTTAGACATTGTTGAGGTAACGAAAATAAATTGGCTGAAACGCTTAAGACTCGGCCTTGCGGATAAAAAGTTTGTCTTCATGCTGATCCCTTTGAAAGACTTGGAAGTTTTGGAAATTACATCTACCCATTACGCGGCGAAAGATGAAGGCAACTTTATTGTTTCATTTATTTTATCTTGCAAAAATATTAGATCAATATCTCTATATCGATACTATGACTATTTAAAAAGGGATTATGTCAATGGAATCTTGAACACTATAAAACTTTTTAGAGATCCTTCCAAGCACCCACCATTCAAATTGCGAGGAGTTTGGTGTGATTTTAAAAGACTAAGCCAGGTAAAAATTTTTTTTATAATATATTATTATATTATATTTTTATTTATATTTTATATAAATTATATTTTTATTTCCTTTAAATTTGACCTTTAAGCTGGACAATTATAATGTCGAATACCTGGAATTGGAGGGGCTCGATAGCAGCAATCAAAACGAAGAATCCGATGAAGATACGGATAATGAAGTGAGAATTTTTTTAGGAAACTCTATTTTTTTAATCCCTATAAATTTTACCTTTAAGCTGCACAAGAATAATGTCGAAAACGTGGAATTGGAGGGGCTCGATAACAGCAATCAAAACGAAGAATTCGATGAAGACACCGAGATTGAAATTTCATAAATTCTAAAACTAAAGTTAACCATTCAAGTCAGTGATAACAGCAAGCATCTTAAAGTTAATGAGTCCCTCAAGAGCTCCTGGCCGTGTATTCTATTTGCGTGCATATCATTATCTATTACCTCATAGAATAAGTGATAATCTACACTGCTCATCCTCTCCCATTAGGATGACATGATTTTTTCGGTTTGGCAGCAGTCTTTTATTTTGCTAGTGGCAATGCTGAAGGATTTGACGCACTCTTTTGTAATGCACCTGGAACATGTACCTAGAAATGCACCCAGATTCAACAAACTAGACACATTCTGGACGCACTCTTTTTTAATGCACCTGGAACATGTACCTAGGAATGCACCCAAATGCAACAAACTAGACACATTCCTGGTTTGTGTCCAGGCTTTACTATAATATTATATACAAATTTCCTTTAATTTGATGTTGGTTTAGGGGAAAACTATAAAGGGTCACCGTAAATGTTATGGATGAAAAAAAAATCGAACGATGGCGCCACTTGCTAAAAAGGATATTTGTCGCTGCTGAAAATCCAGGAATACTTCCCAGCGTTTTAAACAACATTCAAATAGAACCGTTAGAATTGTGCAAGTCAAAAAATGTGAAATTTCATATCTCCAAACAAAAGGTTAAATTAAATTTATAAATATTTCAGCTAAGAAGTAAAGCTGGTAAAATAAAAAAGTCATAGCACCCTTACACTTTTTTCAAAATGTATACATGAAGATATAATATTATACTGAAAAAGAAATCACAGTATGTTTTTAGAGAAAACGATATAAAAATATCCTTCACTTTGATGATGGCTTAGAAGAGTACTAGAAAGGCTCATGAAAAATGTTATGACCGAAAGTAAAGACTCGCTAGATGGCGCCACTTAATAAAAGGGAATTTGCCACTACCCAGTATTTTAAAAAAGAGGACATTTAACTGTTAAAGCAAGTCAAAAAAATATCAATCAAACTGTAAGTTTAGATTTCAGATCTCCCAACAAATAAAGTTGGCTTAAAATTAACCAGTCAAAAAATTATCAATCAAACTGTATGTTTAGATTTCAGATAAAATAAAGTTGCCTTATTTTATATAAGAATTAAAATTGATACATGGACTAGCTAGGAAAAAGAAAGGAACACTGAAGTCTTATTTTGAAATTTATACCGCAGGATAAATGAAGGGTCCTTTTCTCCTAACAAATATTTAATTTGATCATTATAAAAAAATTGAAATATTTACATAAGATACCATAACATTTTTATATTACGATATAAGCTTTCAGAACTAGGAGAAGTCAAAAGAAATCCTCCCCCGAAAATATCCCTTTTTTAACACCCCTGTTACCCCACCAGTATTTCCCCTGCAACTCAAACCGGGGGTTGCGAAATTGTTAGGATCAAACCGGGTTCGGGCCAAATCCTGGCCAGGATGTGTTCCCATTGCGAGGACGAGGAAAAGTGAGCGATGAAGTGGCGGCGGCAGGCTTACTCCTGCGGTGGCCCGTTTGACTGCTGGCTGTTGCTTTATGGCTTCTTTAGTAGTTGAAGCATATTTAAGGCGTTCCGTGCGTCCTTCACACGCACACAGACAGCACACATGCATATGCCTATACTATATGTTCCAGCACACATATTTCGTAGTTTTGTCGCTGAGAAACCTCGTAGCTTGTGTGGGTGAACTATAGAAACAAAAAAAAATATGAAAATAGAGTAAAAAAAATATATGAAAATAGAAACAAACAAAAAAGCCGACGGTAAAAGTAACGAAAAACTGCTGCCTGGCATCTTTTTACGTTTTTCGGTTGTTGATTTTCCTATTTCACTCCTCGCCGCTGTCGTTGAGTTTTCCTTTTGGCCGTGGAATTATGAGAGCCCGTTTTCCTTCACCATTTTCTGTTACTTTTCGACTTCTCACACTCCATGGGTTTTTTTTGTTCTTTGGTGTCTTGGCATCCTGACGCCTGTTTCCCTGCTATTTGTTGGCCTTTATTTTCGCTCGTTTTGTTTTGGTCTGATTAAAAGTAAAGTTTTCGCGGGTTTTTTCCCGACTGGGCCGCGAATTTTACTTTAACTTGGGGTGCACGACATCAAAAGGAAAAACAGCCTGCATTTTTTGCTTTGGGTTTTTATTTCGATCTTAAGGCGGTGGCTTGAAGTGGAAAAAGAGATACATTTTAAGCCAATTTTTTTTATCAAATTTTTAAAGTTGATGGCTTACTAATTTATTTTAAATATTTCAAATCAAAATTAGCCCATTTTTTTTACTAAAATAATTGACTTTTTAGCCTTTGTCACACATTTTTGTCCCATTCCCAAGGCAATCAATGCATTTAATTATGCATCTACTTTTTAGTAGTTCAATTTGAACTCAAACAGTTTTTATTTGAACTGACCCATTTAAATTGACTCTTCCATGTAGCAACTAACAATTAGTGAATTATTGATGAATATTAATAGCTTTTCGTTCACAAAATCAACTTGCACAAGTACACAAATGCTACAATTTATTTTTCCATCTCTCCGCAAACAGACACGAACAGAGATAAAAAAGGTTGAATCGAGTAAACAAGAGGTTAAAGTCTATAGGTCAAGTTGGTAGCTTTCCGGATTATTCGTCATTATGCCTGTGTACATATTGGTGTGCAGGGACTTTCACTTTTTGGGCTCAGTTTCCTTTCCGTCCTTCGCCTTAACCTTGCTCTCACCTGGTAATTAACACTTTGTCAAGCTCATAAATCTTTAAACATTGATTTTTAATGGTGGCATTTTAACGCTTCGTCGAACAGGGGATTCGGGCTCTCCCAGTCGCCCAGGATACGTGCAAGCTGTATAGAGGGAATGGAAAGAGGCCGAATACCCGTGGGAAAATTAATAAATTATTGGGGTCGGGCTGTGGTGAACACGTGACTGTTTGTTTTCCTTCGGTTCATTTCACAGCGGCTGCATAAGTATGGATACAATACGGTCTTTAAGAATGTATCTTAGCTTGTTTAAATTTTTTAAGGGGATACAAGTTTTAGTTGGTAGCTTATAAATGTTAATTAATTTAGCATACATTTACCACACCACTATATTTTAATCATAAGGACTTATAAGCCATATATATATGCGGAGGTATTTTCCCGTCGTTAATATGGCAGCTATATGATTTAGTCATCAGATTTTATAAAATATAATTCGTTATTCTGAAGACTTAAAAAACCATGCAGCGTTAAAGTAGAAAATTTAAGCCAAACCAACAAAATCGTAAGTTTTTCTTCTGATTGAGACCATCATTCGCTTAGAAATAATCGGTAAATTAATAAATAAGCTATTCTAGACCTTAAACGTAAGTCCCAAACGCTCTAGGGCTAATAAAAATATGATAGCTCTGAGTATTATTAAAAATAATTGGGACAAAACAGCATAGTTCTTCATGATATGATTGCTCGAATATAAATGCCCTTGATCTATATGTGTAAAACGATAAATACGTCCGAGCTTATGTTTGCATTTCGAGCTCTTAACAGTTTCTCTTTGAAGCTTTTTGTATTAAACGCATTTACTGCAGTTTCGACATAACCAAACCGAAAAAAAAACAAAATCACCCAGCAAAGACCGCTCAGGATTTATATATAAGGACACAAGCGCACAAATAAATGTTGTTCTTGGCATTGTGTGTGTGTCAACGAATTATGTCCCCCAGATGTCAGTGCAATACAAGCGAGAAACATGACAATTCCGCCTGCGACCGCCCACCAGAAAGTCCAACAACAGTAGTTTGCGATGCGCTGGGAACTATCCATAAGTATTCATGCATTTATGCGGGCGGTGCGCCCCCCACTAACCCGAAACCCCACCCCGAACCCACTTCTTGGTGAAAAGCTCATGTGTGTCTGTTGCTTTTCTTCCATAAATCTCTGCGGTCTCTAGGGATGGGATTTTGTATTATTTGCTACATAGATCTCTCATTCGATAATAGTCTTTGTTGAAAACTATGCAACCACGTTTAGTCTGTCCCTATAAATTGGTAGTTATCATATCTATGATGTCTGTCATTAAACGATACCTAAAAATATCATTATCGGAAGAACATTTTGTAAGATTTTTGGTGTGGGTACATTTTAGTTAGTATCTACCTCGAATTAGCGAAAAAATATTGTTTCAATAATACTAATAATAATATTCAGAAGATAACAGTCCTTATACAGTAATTTGGAATACTATTTTAATTTTCTTTATTTTATTTTGAATAATAACGTTTTGAAAATATGAGTAAATCTTGACCTTTTTAGAACTATTTATATCTATAATTTTTCTTGTTAAGACCTATTCTTATATATTTAATACTAAAGAGAACTGCCATCACTGGCGCATTCTTCAGAAGAAAGGGGAACTGTGGGTGTGGCCGATTGTGTTCTATTTGTCAACAGCAGTGTGGAGAGTGGATGGTGCAGTGGGTGGTGGATGGTGGGTGGTGGATGGTGCACGTGGGGCTGAAAATTGGTGGATGGGGGCCTGGAGGCCGAGAATTCGCTGGACGTGGCAGCCAAAAGGACCGAGGAGAAAAGACGCTTCTGTGCGGACTCTGCCCCTGATACTGGCACATCAGCAGCTATATTATTATGCAAATACATACAAAATATGAATTATGTTAATGCCAAGTGTACACTGTACACACCATACACACACAGGACACACAGCTTTGTCCAGAATGCAGCTTCATCTCTTAACGGCCTGCAAAGCCGTCAAGTCTTTGCCGCAAAAAGTCTCCTCTTCGCACAGAATCCCCGCTCAAAAATTGCTGGCTCGTGTGAAAGTTTTGTTTTTTTTCTTGTTTAACCATTTTATTGAACGTGCTGGAGAGCTCAAGAAAGCTTATGACTTTGCTAGACGAGGCTCCAGCGGATTTTGCTGAAAACAATCTCAGATAAGTTTATCCCACAACTTTTTTATGCCTCAACTCCTAAATTAGCTCTTGAAAATGTGGATTTCTTAAAGAGTCTCTTTTTCTTTCATGTATTATAAAATCGTATGGATTTCTTAAAGAGTCTCTTAAAAACTCTATCCTTTTCTTTCATTGATT